TCCACAATGACGGCACGAGCTTGGAAAAGTCGGGAAGAAATCGCTTTTCCAGGCCTTTTCCAGCCTCTTTGGTGGGGTCCCGTCGTTTCATCCGCAGAATCTTCCAAGTGCCCTTTCCACAATTTCCAAAATAACGCACTTTTCCAAGGTTTTTCCAGTGGGGTCCAGGCCTTAGCTGCGTCCTGATCAGCCATCATGTGCGCATTAATTAATGTGTGGGATTGAAGATGACAGCGACATGAGAAACTGCCGCATATTTCTTCGAGTTCCAAGCACTACCGGGCAGCTCTGTTTGACTATATATAGCTGCTGATGACCAGCTCTGTTTGACTATAAATAGCTGATGATGACCAGCTCTGTTTGACTATATATAGCTGCTGATGACCAGCTCTGTTTGACTATAAATAGCTGCTGATGACCAGCTCTGTTTGACTATATATAGCTGCTGACGACCAGTAAAATTACATATGTTGGAGATCTCATGTTCCAAGTTCCAGCTGACCCATGGGGCCACCTGTCAGTCGGAAGCTGATATCATTGATATGTGGTCAGGTGGAAGATCATATTGCAGTCTTTTTTTATCTTAAGAAGAAGAATTACTACCACCTATTTTAATGATCGTTAACACAGTCGGAAGAGAGGCGGGGGGGGGAGGAAACATACCTTGAACTTCTCGAGGCCCTTTTTGGAGAAAACGTTCCTCAAAACGAACGCAACGTTGGAGATCATCGCTCCCCAGAAACCTGAAATGACAGAGAGGGAGAGACACCTTTGATCAGAGCAGATTAGAAGACGAGAAGCAAGTGCAAGAACACGGGTTCAGCTCAATGCAGCAGCATTTCCGCTCAAAGTCAACAACAAAGATTCTGCATGCTTCAGAGAAGGGAGGCATTAGCACAAATGCATAAGAACCACACACATATGAATAAAAATAAATGACCATGAATCAGGATGACTGAGGGCATAGTCACCCCTAGGAGTTTTGAAGATGTATCTGAACAGGGGAAGTGCTTTGGGCTTAGGGAAGTTAGGGGCCCCTTGGGCCCCTTTGGGGTCATCTATCTGTGGAGGCCAGGGAAATTTTACTTTTCGGAACACAAGAAACGAGGGGGGCAGTGACGAAGTGTTTCGTCGGAGTTCCACCGACTCATCAGGAGGCTATAGAGAGAGAGAGAGAGAGAGGCTCCATGGAGGAATGAAAGAGGCTTGGGGCACGGGTAGGTAAAGAGAGAAACAAACAGCGCCCCCCTAACAGCCCTAAAAGGGCCCAAAAAGGCGGGATGAGGTTAAAAGAGGAGACAAAAGCAACAGGAGGGAGAGGTGGAGAGGGGACAACCATCAACAGGGCTCAGAGAGGGGGGGCAGGGTCCAGATCGCACTTGACCGCAAAAAGTGTAGACAGGGGTAAGTAGATAGGCTGATAGATCAACGGACTGGTAGAAGAGGTGGGGGGGCAATGGAGAGAGGCGAGAAAGGGAAAGGAGGGGGAACAGTCGGAATGGCAGGAAGGATGGAACGAGGGAAAGGGAAGGACGAAGGGGAGCAAGGGAGGAAAGAAGGTGAAGCGAGGGAAGATGGAAGATCATTGACAAGGCTGCCTTTTTCTTTCTAGTTTTATCGACTCTCTAGAGTCTCTACCTCTATTTCGGATCTCCACTGCATACACCTCAAGATCGCGGCGAAGGGTGGTTTGCACTCTCTCTCTCTCTCTCTCTCTCTCTCTCTCTCTCTCTCTCTCTCTCTCTCTCTCTCTCTCTCTCTTTCCGTTTTTTTTTCGCTTTGTTTTCGTTTTTTTTTGGCTATGTTTTCGCTATATTTTCACTATTTAGTCGCTTTTTGTCGCTATTTTTTCGCT